GACAGTGGTGTAACAAAACAACTTAAAAAAATCTTTAAAATTAGTTGGAAATTGCTTAACTCAACAGATTGGTACCAAAAGAAAAAAAAACAACTAACATTAAACCAGAGACATATATAATATACATGTCACTGTTGAAACCAAAAGACACAAAATGCTGATCTAAGGGTACTCGCAGTCACTGAAAGATAGTTCATATTCAGTTACAGCTAATAATGTTCTCCAAGACTAAAGTATAAATCAGTACACACACCCAACGAGTTTACTGTTAAGACGTCATGATCAGAATGAAAAAAGCATGAACTTGTACAATGCCAAAATGTAAGTATACGATGCAGGACCATAAGTATACAACACTGTATAGCAATTCAAATTTACTTATGTTCTTATTTTTCAAAAACAAAATCAAAGTTGATACTTATAAAATCTATATTCAATTATCTTATTGCATGCAGTGTTAAATTGAAAACATTTACGAATAAGAACAATACGATGTCGTCAAAGGGAAGCAAGTTGAAAAAAAGAAAGAAAATCGTGAGATATGTTGTTTTGGGTTTTGATATACTTTTTATATAGCTATCATAATAATCAAAGAATAAATTGTATCAAGTAATTTCTTCCTCTCCTTTACTTCTGTATTTGCAATTGAATATGTGCATATGTACCTGTAGAAGATTTCAGTGTATGTCAAACTGTGCATTAAACGTTGTTTTTTCTTCCAAAATCCTGAACCCTTCTACAGTCCGTACATACACCATATTATGAGGTCTGGATGAGGGTCCTTCATTTCTTTATTTTTTTTACCATTTTTGTCCATTCTCTATTAATTTTGCCCGTTATCATCTGTTCATTATATTTCAACACCCCTATTCTTATTCTTTTATTTTTTTTCTATTCTTTATTTAGTTTGCCTGTTTTTCTATATTCTTTAATTTTATTCGCCATTTATTCTGCACTTTTTTCCATTAATTTATCATATTCTATAAACTCCATCCAGATTCTCATATTATAACATCTTTATTATTTACAGGTAAATTGTTGTAAATTTGTCAAGAAGGCCAATATTCAAACAGGACGATACAAGGACTTTGTGTACGTATTACTTTATAGCATACAGTTGATACATATAGATACAGAAACAAATTGAAGTACAATCAGGTGTAATAAACATTTGCTGTCCCAAATTTATCTTCGAGTTCATGCAGACTTTAGTAATAATTTACGACATAACATAATGCAATATCAAATTGAGTGTATAATCCTATGACCTCTGCAAGTAGAAACCGAGACACGTTGGCTGTCTTTAAAAGATCACCACTACTGATTAGTTTGCTGTGTGAAAATAACACCAAAGGACAAACAATATAGGAGAGACACCTATATAGATGCGTAATTTATGCAAATCAAAACCGCTTTCTTTCTAATTGTGTGAGGGGCTTCGGTGGCTTAGTGGTCTAAGTAGTTACTACTGTAATCACTAGCAGTCAACACTGAGGTTGTGAATTCGAACCCTGCTCGTCCGGGTGCACTCGACTCTTAATTGACTAGGATTGTCAGTTTTCATATCGAAGGTCGGTGGTTTTCTCCGGGCACTCCGGCTTCCTCCACCAATAAACACTGGCCGCCACGAAATAGCCCAAAAGCGGTGCTTAAAAGTGGCGTTAAACACCAAAAATCAAAATCAATCTAATTGTGTGTCTTTGCTGAGACTTCTATAACACTATAATAAAATCAGATCTTTGTAATATGGCTCCGCCATTTATATTTTTGTTACTATTCATTTCTCGAGCTACCTAGTGTGCATACTCAGCTGAACTTTGTACATGATACATTCATACAAATTTATGAATGTAGGTACATTTTTGTAGAAGAGAGGCCACATATACCAACGAGATATTCAAAAACTAAAGACTGAGCAACAATGACCCCAACTAAAACCGGAGTTGATCTTAGGTGTTCTGGAAGGGTTAGCAGATCCTGCTTCACATGTGACACCTGTCATATGATTCCTATACGAAATGTTGATATGCTATATCAAGTTATAAGGTATTACACCATAGCGGATCGGTTATCAAATTTAATCAAACCTTAAGACATCACCAAATTCGTAAACCATCGGTCATGTAAATTTTCTTACAATGAAACTTGACCGAGTGTGAAATTGGGAACTGAACCATTTTTGTGAGTTAGTTTCGAGTTAAATTTAACGTTTTAAAAACATATAAGTAGTATTGTTAATAAATGGATGATTCTTTCTACTTTAGCACACTATAGCACAACTAGAGGTCACTTTAAAACATTTTAAGAAACGATGTAGGACGACACATATATCTAATACTTTTTTTTTTAATTAGAGCAGTGGATCTGTGGAATAACCTGTCAGATAACAAGGACGGCAAAAAATTTTAATTTTTTATTAAGTCGGCTTGAAATGATGAGAATTTAACCCGTATAATTAGTTTATAAGTTCGTGTTTATTACGTACATCTATATAAGTTTTTATTTTTAAGTGTTATATACTAATATTATTACGCGAGGACAAATTTTCCTTATGACATTTCGAAGATGAGGGTTTGTTGAAGCCTATTGCTTTCTTTACCCGAAAACAAAGATACAAAGGTATAAGGAAAAAGTTTGGTTTACAGTTATTTACAAAAACTGAAAACTACTCTGAGTACCACTTCAAACACAAGGACAACTAAACTTTAAAACGAATTTCAAGAAACCAGCAGACATGATTTATTGCCTGCTTATACTTATTATGAAATATGTAAAGGCTTCCATGATTGTACAAACACTACTTTGTTGAGTCTCATTTATATCAATTTATCCTACCTCCTATACATTTCTGAAATATCATTGGTTAAAAGTGACTGCGTGGAAACCTTGAATATTTGATATGGGGTTGGTAGGTGTGGTTTATTTTATAACACAGTAAGTAGTGGTATTGCGTCCCTTTATACAAATAACACGGCACTGAGGAAAAACCTGAAACGTATCGCCCGGACAACAGATGAAGAAATTGATGATGAACGATTGAAATAAATGCAGACAACACATTAAAAGCTAATAAGTTGTTACTGTTGGCATTTGTTTTTATATAGACCAATGGAAGTAGGTTCTTTATATAGAAGACTTAATTACTTTGATATGCCACTAATCTAAAGGCCACATGTTAGTCGGCAAGGTAAATTGACAGTGTGCTCGTGACCCCATATATATCGTATTAGGTCACTAGAACACAGTGTAGCTAAAAATATCAGAACAATTTGTCCATATATCATCATGACCACACAGTTTAATAGTTTCTATATACAAATATTGGAGATTTATGAAAATCTTAAGGAAATTGTCTTTGATAAAATTAGAAGCCAGCTCTGATGAGGATCTATTCAGTGTAGTCTATGACTACTTTCCAAATTCGAGGGAAGCAATGCTTTTAGTATTTAGCTTTTCTGGCTATGCTCTTCCAAAATCTGCATTGTGTCTGTCTTTCTCACAATCTTGAATTAAAGAAATTAATGATCTAAATTATGTATGAAGGACTGAAGAATACAATCATGTATATGGGATAATGATTACAAAGTTTTAAAACGGAATTCTTATGTTTATATTCAGTCTGCAACCAATCTAAGCCGTACATTTCTATAATATTTTACATTCACTGAATGAATGATTTTGTTTCTTTATAAATTTCTTGTGTTCGTATTGACTTGAATCACGTTAGAAAACGAAAAGTGTGAAAATAATTTTATTTCCTGAATAGAATGATGGAACAATTTGTCTTGTTAAAACATGCATTATATTTAGATTATATAAAGATTCCTTAATTGTAAAGTCGTGTCTATAAATTCATTAAAATGAAGTCATTTCACATAAAATACGAAGTTTATTAGAGAAAATAAATGCATTGAATGAAATTTATCATGTACACAGTCATTTACAATATTAACAGATTGTTATGACATAATAGCTGCATTTTTTTCAGAATTTACTTCCGTCAACCGTGCATGCAAATGATACAAATTGATAACAAAGCCAAACACTCATCGAATAGTTTAACCAAGATAGTATGGTTAAGTAAGTGTTATTATTATTAGCTTAATATTTTACCATGGAACAATATGGAACAAAAGAAGGAGAAGCTACACAATAAAGACGGAAGATATCAAAGCTTTCGAGAGAAGGACTAAATCATGGCAAAAGTAAAAAAAGAAACGAAGCAAAGACAAAACAATGCAAACATAAATATCGTAAGGCAGAAAAACATGAACCTTGCAAAAATAAAACCCTGGGTTTTATCTTATGTGCTTCGACAAATTAAAACACATTATAAAAAATTTAATTGTCGGCGAATGTTGTTTATTCGTAAATCAATCGAAATAAAAAAAACAACAAGTTCAGACAATGGTAAAACAATTTATTATTATAATTTAAGTTGATAATGCGATTCAAATGTATTGTACAAAAAAGTTAAAACTCACGACAAATGAAGGCATACTGTATATTTTCATAATTGAATGGCTACATGTATAATAAGGCGACAGTAGTTTACCGTTATTCAAATCTCGTAAATAGATTAGGGAGAGACAATATATCAAAATGAACACTGCTGTATTAATATGACACCTGTCATGGCTATGTTTAAGATAGGATGTCGTTCACAAACTGGGGATAGCTTGACTGCTTTTCTTGTGGAATAGGACGAAAAAAGTGCAAATGATTTAGAATGTCTCGCAAGATTACAATCTAATCAACTAGTTATCAATTCTACATACATATAAAATTGGTTCTTAACAGTCATCATAAAAAACCCGATTAACATTAAAGTAGTCTTTGGATAATTACTAGTGTAAATAGCGTTGGCTGAAAGAATTATATACATATCAGATAAAATATTTTATCTAAAAATGTCATATTTTGTTTTGCTCACAAAAAGCCCTTAAATATTAAAGTAGATACACACAAACCTAAAGAATGCTTTGATATTCATGTTTTAATACAGTCATAATTTAAGTGCTAGCCTACATGTATTGACTGAGAAATCTTTCACAATACATGAAGGCTAGCACTCAGTGTTTTTTTCTTAAATTATTCGAAAAAAATAAACTGGCAATATTATACAAAGGTTTGTTATATATACTTAGTATTATTGAAGAAGCATCTTCTTAAAATGTCGATACAGTAACTGTTATCATGGCTATATATGTCATTGTGTTGAACTTTCTTTTATTACGTTAATTGTTTTTGAAAGTTATGTTTAGGTTTGTGCTTTCCCGATGAAGGTAAATCCAAAAAAGCAACGCTCAAAATTAATAAAGCGTCATTTACAAAAAAATTCTATTGGAATTTTTCTTTTATTTTTAGGATATTTTGAAGAGGACAAATCTGAAAATTGTATAACTCTACAGTGGACTTATACATCCAAGGAAGCAACTTTGCTTTAAAAGTTACTTTGTAAAGATTTTTAACGCTAAACTATACTTGATTGATAACGAGACGTGATAGGGCATAGAAGCCGAAAATGGCATACCAAATAAATTGATGTGAGTAATGATTTATAAAAGTTTATCGCTATTAAATATGTCATCTGGCTTGCATCACTTTCTGGAATCGATACTTATTTCAAATTATTTCAGATATCAAAGTCAATTTATCTTTTATACTGTTTAACGTTAAAGCGTTACAATACTACTTTCAGTTTCTTTCGTTTTTTTTATTTGTTTGCTTTTATGAGATGGTTAAACTACTCCGACTACCTATCAGGGTCTCGATCGGTCGATTTTGTTTTTGTTTTTTTTGTACTCGCACTTTTTTGTGTGGACGTTTTGTAACCAATGACGAAAGATATTAATGAATTCCAACGATTATAATATGATATTAAACAAGTTTGTCACATGAACAAACAAGCAATGGATATTAAGACAAAAATCTATGAGTAGGTAAACATATATCAAAAGCAAATATATGAAGACAAGATAAATCAAAAATAGACTTTTCATCGTTTTCTTGATATTTCTTGTAACATTAGCAGTGAAAAGGGAGTTAACTCTAAAAATTAAATCACTACATGGTTAAAGAAAAAGTACAATACATATGTATTCTATGAACCGTTTTTAACTTGTGGGGTTTGTACTTAAAATCCTATCGTAATTCTGTTAACTCTTTTCACCATTCAACTTCGTCTCACCAATCTCTTAAGATTCCAAGAAATTCAAAATCTAATTGAGATCGAATTTGTTTAACAAACAGTATGGTTGTGAGGTTGGTTTGTGAGATTGATAACGCAACAACAGGAACATATCATATTTCTAGAAATCTGGACGATCGAATCAATGAGCAGCTCATTTGTGATAGACGACAACCAATTACTTTCGATCATCCATGAAAGTCTCCTGTTTTGCATTCTAAGTCTACAGGACATTTACTGTCTTAATCCCTGGATGACTCTTAATAGTTATCTTTGTTTCCAATGTTTCACGTTTCAATATAAATAGCATCTGAGCATAAAAACGTAAATGTTTTCTTATCCGAAAATATCAAACATCAGAATGTTCCTGGGGTTGCTGAAAGGCTTCAAATCCAATCATTGGAGGCGGATTATATGTATACTGAAATATATAAATGAACACTCCATTAATTATGTATATAGAACATAGTTTATAAACTAGAAAACGTCGATATTTCACTGAATCATTTCTAGAAATGTCTTATGATTAGCCAGATATTAAAACACGGATATTGTTAGTTTTTTTAACTTTATTGTTATGTTCAATTTTTGGTATTTTTAGGCAAAATTTGCTCACGTGAATTTCACATGAATCTCACATGAAAACGTTGCTTATACATGAAACTCACGTGAAATGTTTCACATGAATTTCGCGTGAACTTTCCAAAAAAAAATTATTTTTCATGATTTTTAATAAATATGAACATTTAGATGTTTTTGAATTATTTTATTTAAAAAAAAATTCACGTGAATTTCACGTGAAAAAATGCATGTGATTTTCACGTGCAATTCACGTGAGTTTCATATGAGATTCAAGTGAAACTCACATGAACTGATTTCATCAGAGTTTCACGTATAAGCTCGTTTGATGTGAAATTCACGTAAATGATGTGAGTGAAATTTCCCTGTGTAGATAAATCAATTTAGGAATGTATCTCCCTCGTGCAAACCTCTGCTCCCTTTTCCGGGTTTGGCTTTACTTTTGGTCCGGGTTTGGTTTTATTTAAAAAAAATGTTTGTATTGGTTTAAGATTTTCAAATAGTGTGGCCTGAATAGACATTGATTGCCGAAATGCGCATGTGTTGCTGTTAGATTGAAACTTCGTTTTTCATGTCATTTTGATTGGTTTTTATCACACTATGCTTATTAGTTGATGACTTGGTCAAAGATGGTTCAACTAGTAAAACTGTAGTTGGTACAGGAACATATTAAAGCTTAAGGGAAACGATTAGCACTTATTATGTTAAAGACCCACGCCCGATGCCAGATTTTTACGTGCTATTGTGCAATTCAGCAATCAGTTAAGGGCGTATGTCAGCAACAATAATTCATTATTCTGAGCAATTTATTCCTAAAAAAAGGACATTCAAACTTCTAAGTCGGAAATAAACTGACAACGCCATGTAGTAGTTACAATTAAAATCTTTGAAATCTGGTTTGCAATAATGAGGATATTACTCTCGAATTCCTGCAAACAATGCAAGCAAGTTCAAGGTCAAAACAAAACAAGATAGAAATACGTTTATAATTTGGAATAGGAGTTGACATCAGCAAATTTATAATAAAGTAAATTGTCACTATAAATAGTGCTGAGATATAAGAAAAAAAGGATAGATGAAGATATTTTTTTTCTTACCGTTTTGACGTCTCTGTCGGAATGTGAATGACCATTGTTTATTGCATATTCACTAAGGCTACCGTTTCCTTTATCAGTTTCTAAGGCAGCTGATGATGATGTCATAGCTTTTGCATAGCTTGTCTAAAATATTGTTGATATATGTTTTGAATTACGGCAGATTTCAGTTTAAAAAACGAATTCCATGAATTAAAAAAAAAATTTAATAGATTTACGAACATTGCAAGTTTACACTCATTGATGCCAATGTGCTTCATAGTTGGGATCATTTACAGCAGATATGTTTGTGTGAAATTAAATTAATAACCAAATTATTCTACACCTTTTATTGTTGATAGATGAAGATGGTTCTTTAACGTGCAGCAGTAAATCAAATGTATATTCAGGACGAGAACATGTAAATGCGATATAAGTATTTACCCTCTTTGCACTAGACATGCACGTTAAGCCGACCTTTTACGTGCTAGTTCACAAGCTTAAAGTCCACAAGAAGACATGTCACCCTACACGGACACATTATTTTGACGCCAAGCCTATGTTATTACTTTGTCTCTGTTATTTTTCTAAATGCTGCGTGTTCAGCGGAGAAGGATCAAATTCCATTTTAAAGGTTTGAGTTTTACAAGGCCGTGGTTCGAACCCACGGCCTCCCGCACTCGAGTAGTGAGGATTGGCAAAGTTCACAAAACATATCAGTTAAGTATGATACACATTTGAAAGACGAAACTTTCATAAATGTGAGATACAACTTTTTTTAATTATTGATAAACTCACATAAAAATTTAAAAGTATATGATCAGTTGGTTTCATGATTTATAGTATTAAGACTGAAAATGACACTAATGAGCAACGTGCTATAAATGTTTGTTTAAATTCACTTTCATGGTGAAAAACAAGCATGTAACTTTTATAAAGTTTGCCTTGGATGGAGAGTTGTCTCATTGGCACTCATACCACATCTTCTTATATCTAAGTATAAATAAGCAGCTAGTTACGCTAGGTACATTACAAAAGATGGATGCACGATGAACATTAAGGATGAACATTCGAACGCTGTCTCAATGACATACTTACTATGGGTATCAGTCGTACTTTTAGGATAATGAATGACAAAGCACCATATATTACTGCTACTACTAATCCACAGATAAGAATATAAAATACTCCAGCTACATTGCTTAATGATAACGAATTCTTTCTTGAAGTGTCCTTAAAATGTACAAGATACAATATTTTTACAATAAACGTCTGGGCGATTTAAATCGATACACATTTAGATAGAATTAATTAATAAAACTATGCTTTCTTTAATAGAAACATGTACATTGTAAAATTAAAAATATGCATGCAATAATAAGAGCTAATCGGTTACTTTTAGATTCAATCCGGAAGAACAACAGTATATAACTAGCCTTGATACCTTAAGTGTTACAATGTTCTTAACAAGTGTAGTATACTGCATTTGAAATATATCAAAATAAAAAACTTGGGATATGAAATAAGAAAATAGTATTATAAGAAACAAATGTATCCAGAAAAAAGAGATAAGTTTAACAGGACACCAAGTGCTTGTATCCGGCCGCCAGTAGTACTTAACGAGTAGAAAGTGTTTTTCAAAAATGCAGAAATAAGAGGTTTCTGAAATAAATGTTTTTTTTTTTAATAAACTGGGACTTTTGAAAATTTGCGATCGATTACAAGGCACAATTTCACACAATTTACATTTCCAATGGTTTACTTAATTTTCCATTGCACATTTCAAACAGAATTAATTTTTCAAACTCTATGATACACTGTTAATATCAGCCTTCATGGGTATTACTAAAAATGGATACTCAAAAGTCGTATTGACCTGATAAATTTTAACAATTGATACACAATCCCATTTTACAATACTAGACCATTAAGTCAATCAGAATAGAGCGTTCATTGACTTTCGTTAACAGTTTGACACACAAATGCACGAAAATCAAAATAAAGAGTTCAATTCAATTCGAAATTTTAAACATTTATAATCTGGATGAAAGACTTGCAAGTTTTTGAATGTTGACATACCACATCGTTTGGACTTATTTCTTTTAACATTATCAATTGTAACATTATTTTTTCTTCTAAACAAATGTCATCCTCAAAAGCTTTCTGGCATCAAAGAATCTGTCGCGGCATAACATTGTCATAAAACGAAAGATCTGTTTACGACGTTAGAAATGTAGAATTTATGAGGAGAATTGCAGGGACTGGACACTCTCGCCTCACACTTTTATTGTACATATTTGCAAGCATGACATTGCCTCGTGCAGGTTTTTTTCGTTTGTGTCAATTTTTTAGTTCCAGTATCTGTAAGAATCAAGCAGGTAGCACATGAGGGGTGTTAGATTTGGCTCATTCTATTTTTTTGCATGTTATTAGATAAGTCATTTATGATGTTTCTGTTTTTTTTTTGGCATATTGTCCATCTGGTTGCCATGATAGCATCTCTTAGTTACAGTGGTAAACTGGTAGAATCCAAGGCTAAAAATAGCATGTTTCTTTACTTTATTCTCAAAAGACAAAATCTTTGTATATATAATGAAGTATTGTATGTTTTTCAATATCTTTTATGGTTTCTAAAATGTATAATAGTTACTGATATTATGTACTGAAGATATTATAATTAATTGTAATAAGCATGGATTTTGGAACTTACCTTGCCACCATTCGGCGCGCATTGACTTCGATCACTCCACCATTTATTTCTCAGTTTTATCAAGGTACTATCTTCAGTAAGTTCCAATACGTGAAGATTTAGAACATCACTGAAAGGAACGTAATAAGACTTATCAATTGTTTTAAGTATTAAGATTAGTATGAGAGGTAGATGCATATCGTGTCATATCAATATCTGCGGATTTATACATAAACTCTATGAAGCACATATGTGTCCTAAATGCAATTTAAGGACATACGATACAGAACAGATCTGACATTGATAGTTCTTGAAATTTTGAAACATAGTCAGTGTTGATATGCACTAACGAGAATATTCAATATAAAACATATTTTGCATGACTGACTTGACATATACTAGTCGAGATAATTGATTAGATTAGTAATTTAAAGCAGTATCCTATTTTCTGTAAATGCAATTCGAAAAAAAACATGTGTCGTTGATTTTTTTCTTATAGTTTTGATGTACAATTCTTGAAGCAGCATATTCGATTGGAAAGGAAAACATGGGATTCCGTTTGCCTATTTTCTAGCTAAAGTGAGAAACACATAGTTTTAAGCTAGACTAAATAAATAAATCGCAGTAAATAACAATGCTGTTCTCTCCGTACATCAAAACATCATACGAATTAGTTATTTTTATAAATTGGACATTATTTATGATAGCAAAGTAAACAGTCTTTACTTGTTATAAATTTATTTGCACCCTCCCCCCTCCCAACCCCATTTCTAGATTTGGGGTGCTTACATATACAGCATTTAAGGTTTCTTTTGAAACTAATTAAGAAGCGGAAGATACCTAGGAGACATTTAAACCAAATAATTTGAGGAGAAACTAATAACGCGTTGGCAAAAAACGAAAGACAACGAAAAGACAATTAAGAGCACAATACCGCAAGAAAACGAACTTTGATCTGGTCATTTTTATCTTAAAAGCTATCAAAATACTGAACGAGATATTATTAAGCCATTTTTGGTCTTTCGGTCAATTTTCAGGTTTATCCACTGCAGTAAATATTTTACTGGTCAGACTATTCGCTTGCAGTCAGTCAAGATCTGTTCATTCTATGTTCAGACGTTTCAGTAATTATTTTGTACCTGCGAACATCAACATCATAATGAATAGTAAATTGTCTAAACGCTACTGAACAGTACTAAATTGATTGCCTGTGAATGGTCTGAACAGTACTGAATTTACCACAGTGGATAAATCTGAAAATTGACTAAAAAATACAAAAAATATTGTTCAGGCTCTTCAGATGATTATACACTACACGGAAATCTAAAGACTTAGCAACACAAGCCCACCAAATACTGGTGATCCCAGGTGCTCCGGAAGATTAACTATAATACTACTCCGCATGTGACAGCGGTCTTGTTACTCGTATACAATACGTCGATAAGTTATATCAAGTTCATAGGCATCACGAACAAGCGTATTCGTTACATGATATTTTATCACTTATGAAATCACGTTACTAGTTTGATGACGATTATGAATTATTCCGCATTGTTTAAGGCTTATTATTAGCAACGGTGCAAAAACAAAGAATGTGTCTTTTTCTGCCTCTGCTACTGTACCTTATGACCAGAACGTGACAGGAAAGTAAGCACGAAATTATTGGTAGTAATATAAGAAAATAGGTCGAAAAGCAAGTCCTTAGAAACGTACGTTCTTGCTACCTTTTAGACAAACATGAGTCGCATAGATAATCCAGCCATTTTGACGTACGTTACTTTCGTGAAAAAAAAATACTAAACATTTGTAATATTTCTCATCCATTTATTATCATATTTATTACCGGTTTTTTATCATATACCTTTGCCCTTATTAGATCTAATGCTAAATGAGATATAACTTTGATATAACACATTTAAAGGAAACCTAATAGATATACGTTTTGAAAACATATTGCATATCTATTGTATTTATGAAGAATTTACATTGAAAAACTGATTGATATTTCTTTTCAAATCTACAATTGCACATCAAACATTAAATTGTTAATATTGTTAACATTCAATATTAAAGGTGATCACTTGAACGAGTTGTTGCATGCTGTGGACATGTCATTCCAAAAGACGGAAAACAAGCTTTAATGTCTTCACTGAAATTGGGCTGGACTAAATATATATTCAACATTACTGCACTTCTAAACGGTGTTCCCTCAGCACATGTTGACATGTCATACGGGAGAGGTTCAAGTGATAACATTTCTATATATCAACCATGGTTTGAACGATACTGCAGAAAAGATTTGTAGTTGGTCGATGAAAGAGTGGAAGGAAAATTAATTACAAAATTTAATACTTTAATGACTTTATTGAATGTGAAATGTATATTAGGATCAAGACGATTTTATTTTGCATACATTGACATGCTAAACCTACCGTAAGGGTGAATATTTCGGCGTGGCTACACCAAAACCTTTTGTATTGAGATTCCTATCGACTTTAAAAGTGTCACATGGTTCCACACTGTTTTCGTATTCTATTATATTGCTTTCTACAAGGAAAGCATATTTTCCTTTAGAAATGCGCACTCTTTCTATGCCCTCACTTGTCGTGTTGCACATATTTTGAGGATTTGACATCATAAAATTCCACATTGTTTGATAAATAGGAACAAGTGAACCCTGCAAATATGTTATAAATTACATAAATTTTATATATATAAATATATATATTACATCGTAACGACAAAATCTCAAAGTGCGGCTATTTTGGCAGTTTTGTTTTACAATCAACTACCAACCAATGCTGACCAAATTCACATTTATTTAGACATTTGTTAAAACACTGGCATGCAGAGACGGATAAATAAACATGTATTTAAAATTTTATTGCTTATCGTTCACCAGTATAAAATTTAAAAAGTAGAGTGAACACAAATAAAAATTCATGTAAAAAGTATAAAAAAATACCGAACTCCAAGGCAAATTTAAAAAAGGGGAAGTCAATAAAAACTGACAAAATCAAACGCAATCAATCAACGGATCAAATAAAAACAACTGCCATATTCCTGACTTGGAACAGGCATTTCCCGGCGAAAATGATGGGTTAAACCTGGTTTTATAGCTAGCCAAACCTTCCACTTGTATGGCAGTTGTTTGTAGTTCCGTTATATTGACAAAATTGGATGAGCAACCCAAACAGACATACATGTAATAGGTTTATGGGACAATAATTGTGATCAAGCAGCCAAAACTGTATAAACATACACCACAGACATACAACACAACTAACTTAAAAAATCAAACAAAATATACAAATTAATCTAAAAAAGACGTCAACACAAAAGGTGTAGTAGATAGTAAATTTTAAATTTGACAATGACGTAAAAAAAAGTTTTTGTCGTTGTTAGCTCATACCGCATATAGTATATACCCTTTCTCATTAAAGTAAAAATCAAGTAAATATAAATACAAAGGTAAACAAAATAGAAATACCACTGTTAAAACCACTTGTGTCCGAATCGGACCCACCTGCATCAGGAATGCCTAAAGTCAAACGGTCAAAAACCCGATGGCGGGATGTATGAATACCGAGTCACGCCAAAAGTCATACGACCAAAAGAAATATAATAGCACGAAGACAAATAACGTATAATAAAAGGATGTTAGCGTGAATATATAATGATCGGCCAAAGAGAAATTACTTAAACAAATCTAGAAAATTCCGCATCGTTATACATAGATTTTGTACAAAACAAACCATTGACATCAAAAACGATTCATATGAATATGAACGGTAGTTCTTATTTTAAAATTAATTGTGTTCAATTAAAATGTATGTTATATGTTTTTTATGTTTACATTGGGTTCCTCATTGCAAAAGTATCGGTTATAATTCCTTCTATGCAAGTACACGCGTCATAAGCGTTAATTATAAGCATATGCATTGTTAAGAAATGATTTAAATCGAAGATGAATTAAAGGTATATTTATGATTTTTTGTGGGGTTTGTGTTTCCCAGTCTTTAGTTTTCTATGTTGTGTTTTGTGTACTGTTGTTTGTCTGCTGGTCTTTTTTTTTAGCCATGGCGTTGTCAGTTTATTTTTGACTGTATGAGTTTGCATGTCCCTTTGGAATCTTTCGCCTCTCTTTTACATGATGGGTTGATAAATTGCTACATTTCTGAACTTATTATTAATTTACCGCAAAAAACTCTCGTGTTGTTCCTGAATTAACGCATCCATACTTAATTTGAGTTTGTTTTGCTAGGTCGTCCACTGTTTCTATTGGTGCAACCATTCGTTCTATGGTTAGAAAAGCAGCTAAGTTGGCTGTGTATGATGAGATAATTATCAATACAAAGAACCACCATACAGTTCCAATAACTCGTCCTGACATTGACCTGCAAATAATTGCGATGACTGTAATTTGCATTATAAACTCTTTCCTTTAACATATTATTTTAAAAAAAATATTACATTCAACTATAAGTTCTATAATGGTGATGATCAAATTGAAAATAAATTACAAAGTTAACAAACTAGTGAACATTTTAATTTTCATTTTTTTATTTCAAGGATTTAACCTATATTTAAGTTATATTGGAGCAAATGCATTGTTTATGATAAAAAAAAATACTGTTTCCTTTTTGTGAGCAGGTAGGTAATGTGTTGTAGAGGTGTTATTCGGAACAAAAAGATTTAAAAAAATATTATTTTGATATAATTTTTATTCAAACTACTATTCCTGTTTTCACTGGAATAAACTGAGCAGTTGCGGCAGTTAGTAAACATTTGAGTTTGTGATCGATGTAAATAGCGACTGCACTGTGATTATATTTTCGAATGAAGCACATCGATAAATTAAAGAAAGAGTATAATTATGTTTGTATAAATATCAATCAAGGCTAGCAATTTTATGCCGGTTGGTCATGTTTTTGTTTTTGTTTACTAGTCACACGACCTGAACACATTCACTTTTCAACAGCATAGTGCTATTCACATGGAGTTCACAGCAAAGGCTAGACATGTCCATCTAAGCCAAATGCAATCAAACCAATTAATCAATTTTACTATTTCAAATAACTCGATGATTTCACGGGGTGGGTTGCGGGCTACACAGGTATAGGTAAGCTGAGAGACAATAAATACGTTTTGTTTAGATTTAATCGCACGGCCTATGACTAAGTAATCTAAAGATGATCAAATTTCGATAACAGAATAAAGTCAAGATATTAAACAGTCTCACTATCATTTGACGCACCCAATCAATCTCGCCAAGTACAAAATTTGTATAGATTGGATACTTTAGGTTTCATATAAATGTTTGAATTTGCCTAATCATGTTGTGTCAGGGATATGTCCTAAGGAACCTGTTGTTCGGTGGTTGTCGTTTGTTGATGTGGTTCATAAGTGTTTCTCGATGCTCGTTTTTTATATAGATTAGACCGTTGGTTTTCCCGTGTAAATGGTTTTACATTAGTCATTTTTGGGGCCCTTTACAGCTTGCTGTTCGGTGTGAGCCAAGGATCCGGGTTGAAGACCGTACTTTGACCTTTGATGGTTTACTTTTACAAATTGTGACTTGGATGGCGAGTTGTCTTATTGGCACTCATACCACATCTTCTTATATCTAAAATAAAGGGATATGTCCTAAGTCAGGAACCTGTTGTTCGGTGGTTGTTGTTTGTTGATGTGGTTCATAAGTGTTTCTCGTTTCTCGTTTTTCATATAGATTAGACCGTTGGTTTTCCTGTTTTTTTTTGGGCCCGTTACAGCTTGATGTTCGGTGTGAGCCAAGGCTCCGTGTTGAAGGCCGTACTTAAACCTATAATTGTTTACTTTTGACACTTGTGACTTGGATGAAGAGTTGTCTCATTGGCACTCATACCACATCTTCTTATTTCTATATAAGCTTCGTAAAATCTAATAAACAGATGAACCGTACCTTGGACAAGAGTCACTTCCTTGTAACATTAAGGCTCCTGTAGAAAACCAAAAGGAATTTAACATTGAAAATTCTTCGTTTAATTGTGGGTCTTTTTCCCCTTTCACCTTTGTCCATTCATATGGACTAAATCTGCTGACAAGAAATAGTCCAATACTGACAGATCCATATGCTAGCATAATAAAGATCCATATCTTAAAATTGAACGGCTTCATGAATGAAAAGACTCCTGGTTTTTCTATTTCTGGTTTTTTAATCATTATTGATATGCCTACTTCCATAAATGGTTTCGTAAAGTCTACAACCCTTTCTCTATCATATGTTATTGTAAAATCTGCTAAAGCCATATCAGCAGTCTGTAAAAATAAACAGCAGTAATGTAAACAGCCTAGAAACATATAATTTTCATGCAATGAAGTATCAAGAGTGTTTCATATTTAGAAATTTTTAATTGATGTTTATATTAGTGTTTCATGTTCTTTCCGACTCGGCTTCTGTTCAAAAATCCATTATTTATTTAGGTGGACGATACACATTTTATTACTAGATTTATGATGTCTGTGGTCGAGACGGCAATGTTTTCTTAACCGTCTCATGAACTTGGTGCACGTGTTAATTTTCAATCTTTGTCAGGATTATTCAGTCAGTTGCATTAATTAGCTAGTAGCAGTAGCAGTGCAAAAAATTCAAATCAAATTTTTCGGTTATTTCATAACTATTCTTACAATGCCAACATAACTATACGAATTACGACAGTATACTTATTGTGTTTATATTATACACCCGCAACATTTTCAACAAGAGGTATGAAGATTTAGAATTATACTCGATATTTGACACTTTAGATGTGTCGAAACGGATCCGGATGGGAATAAATGCTTTATTTTGCAATTTGTGAGATTACATTTACTTGGAAACGAGTAGGCTGATTACTAGTGATGTGTTCTATTAGACGCTACGGAATTATTTGTTCATATAGAAATGGATGCTAAATTTCAAATGGTAACAACTATGTATATAAATATGTCTAGTATACAACACTAAACGTACGTCAGAATTTTTCACTAGTTTGTTATTTACGCTTGCGTTTCTGTCAATGCCGATATTTTCTGCTAATGACTCGGAGTGGATATTGGCTTACAGATAAGATTGCACTGGTATACCAACATTTTTAGACGTGTCTTGAGAATCTGGTACAAATTTATCTTCTAGACAGGTCAGTTTATTGTCTATTTCAGTTTCTAGATTTTTCATTGATTCTGAAAGCTATCGTTAAAATAGATATTTTTAAATGATTAATAATCGATAGACATGTCATCTCAATTCATATTTTGGTCATACAACAAATTATGCGTGCAGTTTGAAACTGACGAGCAGCATTTTAGCATGATCATTTGAATTATCTACACATTCACTCGATATAAGATCTACAGAAGAGAATTTATTGCGCCTAATTGAGTTCACGATGTTGTATATATATTTTCGACATTCATAGAACGTACGCGTGTAGGCAAGAGACAGAAACAATTACTTTCTATTTATTTATATATACATATATATATCTTTTATTTTTAAAGAATTGTTGTGTTACACAAGGTTCGCAAGTGCATAGGTTCATCTTGAATGTGAAATTTTCTATTTAATATTTGTTTTATCATTGACATGTTTATGGTGATCACCTGATTTAGCACGTGCACATAGACTTCAGATTTTGTATACCATGTACATATGGAACTATGATTACAGAGATGTTACACCAGGTTGTATTTAGTAAACGTTACACTATACTCTTATAGATCATGATACATTATTATTGTTAACACTCAACAAGACTACGTTCTGCATTGAGGCTCTTACTTGACACTATGCTACGGATTCACAAGAATCATGAGAATGAGAGTAAAATCATCGGACTACAACACATTTATTATATGGTACTAGATGATGCCCGCGAAATCGCGGTACAATTGGGCAAGCCACGGGGTTCTTCCTATGCATTGGTTTAAAAATGCAATTTCACATTTACAATTTTACAAATGTATGTTCATACATGTATATATACACTTTACCAAATTTACATAGTTAAGCAGATACATGTCCATTCGCTGTAACTATTCATACTCGACTCTCCTGCATGTCATATATTATATTCACTTCATGAAAGTTTTCGACACTTTCTACATGTAACACCCATCAAATATCATTTACCTCTAGTCCACAAAACTACTTGTACATTAAACTAACAGTCATTAAGACTGTCTGTTATAGTTCATCAAACAATTAACTTTCAAGTATTCAACAACGACGACCTTATCAATTTACCTACGTAAATCTGATTACAGATTAGGAAAATTAACGAAATTAAGGTTCCATGACACAATGAATGATAGACAAGTCATGCAACTTAACGTTTTATCCTAATATATATACATTTGTCCCCGACAACGATTACATACTATGAGCAAGTAGAAAAGGATATGGTATATATCAATTCATAACACAATATCACAATATGCTTTTATTGCCGTCCTTTATCTCAAGTCACACTGACACTTCAACATAGGGCAAACAGATGTCACGATACAGTAATAGTTGGATTGATTGAAACTATTATTTTACTACTTACTAGTAGTTGGTTTTTTTTTTTTGTTTTTTTTTTGTAATTTGGTGTTGATTATTACTTAGTAAGGTTTAGTATGTTAAATGATACCAGATATTGTGCACACAGTTACATTCGTTTTTTCTTTATTTCATATTTGGAATATGGAGGAGAAGCTCTTTGTCTGTTGTTCATTCAACCAATTGGATAAGTGATACTTATAGCGTATTTATGTGAAGAACTGACATCATGATCAACTGAAGTTATTGAAGAGGCCTAAATACATACGATCGCGTGAAAAACTGCAATTTAGAACTTTTGCTGACAAATTATCTTCATCACTGTTTATATTTACATTTGACATATTGTTAGCTTACTATTTCGCCGACGTAATTTTTTCAAATACATTGTATCAACTACAAGAATAGTATTTATTGTCCGACCGAAGTCCATTTAGACTGCATAGATATATTTTGTCCAGTAACACAATTAGACAACGATTTTAGCGGACATTCCTTTCAATCAGGCGTGGCTAGCAGCATTATAATTTCATTGTTCAAGAGTGATGGCATCGCTTGTCCGTATTAATTGCTATTTCAGATGTTTCGTTTCAGAAAGCGAAGTAACTATAAATTTAAAAGCTACAAAGACAGATATTTTCCGACAAGGTATTAATTTCATTGTTCAGGATTGATGACATCGCTTTTTCATATAAATTGCTATTCCAGCTGCTGAGTGTAAGACGAAACCTATAAACGCAAAGCATAATGATTCGTTTTTCGTTGAAGAAATATCGGAAACCCAGTTTCCCGGAACTATTTTATAAGCAAGCTTAAAACAATACTCTTGGCATTAGGATATTGTGAAAAGGATTATAGCGGACATTCCTTTCGATCAGGTGCGGCCACTAGCGCTAGTTCTAAAGGTATTGAGGACAGCATGATACAATCACTGGGACTTTGGAAATCAGATTGTTTTAAACGCTACAGTAGAACATTTAAATCGGATATTAAATCCGCGATCGGTTATGACTTTGTAACATGTCCTACATCCTAGCCTTGTGTCTTTTCTTTTCACGTTGATCTCAATATTGTGGTTAAGGATTTTTATATTGACATTAATTTTCTCTAGATCAACTTTAATTTTAACAAGACACAAGGCTTCATCAGGCACAACATCTTCAATTTTTGGGGTTACTCAATATGCAACTTGGGCAGGCAACATAACGTTACATATTTCGTTTTGGGCTATGATATTTTATTTTGGCCAAATATAATATCGTTCCCCAAAATTTTCTGAGTAGTTAGGGTGCCTACGTACCTTAACGAGGAATAGTCTCATCTTGATTGCTCAACAGCTCTATTTCACGTCGGTCTATGCCCACAAAGATTTACTCTTATGCGGTACCACGTGGAAAATCAAGTAAGGCTATACCGCTCGGGAACGGCTTGCTAAAGTACTCTGAGACAAGTAGACTGGTAGACGTACACACACGTGTATGCAAATACCCCTATGGTGACGCATTTCTGTCAAAGATATGTGGCTAGCTCAGGCACAGTATTTTAGCGGCACATTATCCTTAATTATCTGAGAACACACTATCATTTTATGTACATACTGTGTGCTTTGTGTCAACTGCAGGTAGCATGTAATTTGTTTTGTTCTTGATTTACAATATGACAGAACTGAGTGAATTACATGATACTAGAGAAAAAATATCCTCAAGCATTCACACAGTGTGCCGCGCACACTGCTCGGATAGTTAAGTATAATGTTGGCGTCAGTTAGTTTACATCATCGCTTCTTATTCAATGACGCCAAGGAAGTTTTCTGTAACATAACGTGTTGCCCTTAAGCCCAAATATTTGCATAATAAAAATAATTATTTTATCATGTTTTATATTTTTTCAGTACTTCAACAATATCAGACTGGGTATCTGAAATACTTCCTGCTGGACGTTTACAGGCTTTATATCAACAATAACTACTTTTGTAATTATGGTATAGTGTCTGTGATCGTTCTTATAAGAGTGGTCGTTAATAGCTATCAATTATCTGCGGTCAAGGTTTATTTATATTTAGCTGTATATCTCTAATCATTGTTCACGCTAGTAATTCTCTTATCAATTGGTCTATTAAGGTCAACGCATTGAGGTTTTATTAGTTAATTGGCTTTGGTCTGCTGTGTCGGTACTTACTTAGATCATACGCTTGATGTGTATTTTATTATGTTTGAAACATGTTATATAAATACTCCTGTAAACACATTTGTAAGGTTTCGAATTTTCTTTAGTCTATTCAGGCATTTACTACAAAATTGACATTTTGTACGTCTGAACTTGCTTTGTTTTGCAAATTGTTAAAAAATAAATATCAGTTTTTCGATATTTATATTCAATTCCGCGTGTTCTAGTTAGAAATTTATTAAAAATCCGTTTGATCCGACCTTAAATTTATGATAGCGAACTTGAAATTTGTAAGCTGCTGGAGACCTATTGTTTCGGTTGGTTGAGGTCTTGTATCATTACCTCATACATCGCGTTTGATTTTTACATCTTAAATACTGTATACATTTTTTTCTTCGTGCAAAGCAATTGCTCAGCTCTTAATTACATTCAAAACAGTTGGTTAAAAAGTCTTACTTTAGATTTTTTTCCTTTACTAGATAGCATGCTAGTAGATTATCTCTATATAAGAGGAAATTCAATTACATCAATCAGTCTTAAAACGTTTAAATTAGACGATATATAAACATTGTTTTCCTTACACCATCAATTAATTCTTTCACCATACCATCCCATTGCTTTGTATTAGGATCTTCACGTCCATAGTTTCCATCGGTTACTTCTTTTATTTTGTACTGAAATCCTATTCTATCAGATAAAAGTTTAGCAAAATCTGGAACAAATCCTATGAAGAGAAAGGAAAAATATGTTTACAATTTATCTTTGTATTGGCTGTTTGTGTTTAAACAAGGGTAAATTTCTCAAATAATAAAAGAAAATCGACAATGGTTTTGTGTAAGCGTAATTGACGTGTACAGCAAATGTGTACCCGAATGGGGGACATTTTTTTTATGCAGACAGGGTCTGCATAAAATAATACAGTATATACTATATAACGCAAGCAACAAGAAAAATGCTCTATAATTTATACAACAAATTTATGCCCCTATTGTTGTCATATGCGTATATTTCTATTGATACAGGGGTTTTTTAATTCGGAACTCAAATACCTTTAGTTTCTTCCAAGAGTTGAGACCCCAGCTTTGTTGAATTTAAAAAAATTCAAACGTATCTGCGATAATTAAAATTAATTTTAGTAATGAATCATGGTCAATGCTGAATCATTTACTCACTGCAGGCAACATTCACGAATTTACAGTCAACCAGTAAATGTATCCATCAATTGGTAAAAGAAAATGAAATGTAACAATTTTTCTTAGTTTGATTAGCTGTCTTTCAGAACTTTATTGTCAAGATTAATACTGCTTTAGAAGAATGCATGTTCATACATTGGTGTATATACAACAACAAAAAAGACTGAAATAAGATAGTGGACATTTTTTACCCTACCTTCATAAACATCATTTCCTGTTAGATTCGATTCTAATATTTTTGTAGGATCTTTCCTCATCAGCATTGGTTTTGACTTAAACAGAAAAAACACTATATAAATATGGATAGTATCTGCCACTTTGACGTAAAAGAAACGGTATCAGATTAAAGCAAATTAATCGAATTTACTATAAGTTGTAGATATCCCAAAAACATACACTTACATGTAAATGCAAAATCTAATTCAAGTTGTATTCTAGATAGAAACACTGCCGATTGCATTCTACAGGAAACTATTAAATACATATTTTTTTCTTTTAAAGAAAAACAAGAAATTGAAATCAAAAATAAATATCACAACAAAAACACACCGAAACCATAAAAATCATGAATAAAGTCAAGGCACTTTCAGCAATATCCAAATGTCTTCTGTTATTTTCTTTAAATTTCTTAATCGGTGATTTTAAATATTTTAGTATGCTAGTACACATACATGTAATCCTTTTTCAAGTTATCGAAACACACACTCCGTAAAAATGAGGAACTTAAAACTTGCCGTAATACAAATGAATTAAAAATACAAACTAGTATTGTTGTTATGACTTTCACACTACTGTCGGTGTAGTTAGTCCCGACAGGTTCTCGTCGTGTGTCTGCATCCAAACTTGAATACCCATAGTCTGGATGCCAAGAACCAATCTGAAATTAAAACACATGTACGCCACTTTTTAAGTAAAGAAAATAGTAATTTATAAATTTGGTACGTTTGCAGCGCTTTTCTGGATTTACTTTCATCAGCAATGCCTAAATCCCTTTAAATTGAAAGCCAAGGATGTATAACTTATTGCATACGTGTGGAGATTTACACCAACAAGGACATACAAAAAGAAAGAGCCAATATAAAATTAAGAATATATGGTATGATTGCCAATGAGACAACCAATCATCAGTTGAAGTAGATGTAAGTAACTAATTTAAAGGTAACCATACGGCGTTCAACATGGAGCAAATATGTACCTTATAATTAGCTATTAAAGGCCCAAATGACAAAATATGAAGAATTCCAAAGAGAAATTCATATGAATGATATAAAATGATACAAACAAATGTAGTACTTAGTAATGTTATTTTTCTTATTTAAAGAAGTATATGTTAAATCTAACATGGAGATAAAAAAAATATTTGTTTTCAATGTTCATCAACTGATTTGTTTAGCTTTCCCATAGTTTTGATAGTGCGCAACTGATGAGTTTTATATTTAGACGAAACTCGCGTCTTGCGTAACAAATAAAAAGCCTGGTATCCTTTATAAGTATGTAATGCCTACAGCAATATAAATTGTTGAAACCTAAAATTTAAGTGAATAAGTTTATACCATTAGTATACTTTGTAAGGAAGCCTAGCTGGATTTTTAGCCGGTAGTTTATTGATGCCCCAATCTCGTAATTCCATTTAGAATACACACACAAAAATGAAAATATAATCAATTTGGCCTGAGAGAATCATATGAACTCTAAAAGTCTGCTACCATGTATGCATCACTCGCCTATGCGAATAATCACTCGGTTATATATATGTCCAAATGAGTTTTAATATCCTCTTGGTACCATTCGCCTCAATTGTAGGTATGCAAATCACATAAAACAATTAAAACAGAGGCGGAAAATGTCCGATGAACATTCTCACTCATAAGTCGATGACAAATTGACAACGCCATTGCAAAAAACGATAAGACAAACAATATTATACAAAACACAACATAGAAAACTAAAGACTGGGTTACACGAACCCCATACCAGGGGTGATCTCAGGTGAGCCGGAAGGGTAGCATATACTGCTCTTCATGTGTCACCATCGTGTTGTTCGGGTAAGTACAAACTCGGTGACATTGTCAAGTCTTATTCGGTGATGTTACTTTCAATGAAAAGAGGACGGGATTGTACTTACGACGATTGTACCATATCCGTTTTCATCTATAAAACTGATATTCCATACAAATATTGGAATATGATTGGTCCGTAAGGACTTCTTTTCTTGGTTTACACTTCGATAGGCTGCTGCTAGACGGTCCAGACCTTCTTTCGGAACGTATGTGAACAACATATATATATTTATGCGTGATACACATGAATTGAATGCTGGAGGTAAACGAAAAATGAAATATTAAGAAGTTGAGAATTATATTAAAGGATTAATCACATTATTTCTCGATGTAATTGATTATCTAACTGGGTCGATACAATCACAAACTGTACATGCACGCCTGACTTTTATTCAGTTGTGAGTGGACCGACACAATTTACACATCAATGGCCTCCAGACAAAATGTGTTTAATCCTATTGTAACCGGGGAGCATGATTTTCATTACAAAATCACCTTGTCCTCAGGGACTCGAACATGGACCTCTGTGTTACAAGGCAGCGCTCTAACCGACTAAGCTAAAGAAGTACTTCCATAGCTCAACCGCTTACGACTGGTTAAGTATCTACTACATGTATGAAGGGAAGCAATCCCGTCACACTGCAATAACATTGTTTTAACTGTTCTGGTACTTCTTCTTTTGATTAGGCATCACATTTCAAAAATATTCATTATAATAAATAGGTTTAAGTTTACGGTTACACTTTATTTGGTATTTGGTATTGTGTTTAATGTTTTATAATAAATAAAATGTAAACCTTCGTTGGAGTTTGGTGGTGGAGTCCAACACTAGATACATGTAGTATATAATCATGTCGGAATCCATCAGGTGTAAACATCACATGGCCTGTCAATCCTTGGAAATCTACCTGGTCAATGAAGATGAATTTCGTTAGTTTAAGGACCACTTGAAGTAAAACTAACATTATGTATAGGTAACCATCACCATATTTGTTGCAGTTGTTTTGGTTATAACTTGACATTGTAAAGATTTGATAAAGTAAACTTTCCTTTGGTTTGATTTAAACTCGTCACTGAAGACTGTTTGATAATTATTATATTTGGGATATTCCGTCAAGTTCATCTGAATATATGATATTCGTTTTGTCATCTAAATTTACTTATTGTTTTCCTTTACTGATATTTTTTATTGTCCAGTCTTCTATATGTATCTTAAATTCTCCGTTAATAAATTAAGAATTTACCAAGAAACTAAGATTCCAATTCCCCAAGGTGAAGATTAATCTAGAAACCCAAATCGGACGCACGTTAAAACGAACAAGTCTAAACAAAAAACACTGCAGAGACCAGTAAAGACGAAGCAACACGAACCCCATCAAAAACCACGGGTGCTCTGGAAGAGTACAACATTTCCTGCTCCCCATTAGGCACCCGTCATGTATTTGACTTATATCCAAGAATCTTTTTATTCGTTGTTTCGCGTACTGAATGTAAAGTTACCTTTTTTTGAATTCAAAAGTTTTAAATCGGTTGAAATCGTTCAATCCGTACTTGTTGAAAAAAAAACCATTTATTTGAAGAAAAAATCTTGATACTGACCTTTTGTATACATTTAAGAAAGAGGTCACTATTATTTTCACAGTTGGTATTCCCTTGTTTTTGTCAGAATAAGGTGATGATATTCAAGCAAAACATTTTAACTTCCCGAGTTGGTATCTTTGTTCTTTCAAGTAGTTGAAAGTGCAACAAGAAAATAGGGTATTTTTAAGTATTTCTACTTTTGATAGGTTCTGTAAACATAATTACTTTGATAGGGTTCCGCCTTCACTAACATGGCTAAACAACATTGTGGATTATGTATTTATCTGTCCACACAAGTATTCTACATTAAAATCGAACCCTATTCTTACCTTATACTTTAAAATTTAGAATAACCATATTTAGTGAAGGCGGGACCCACAATTCTTCAAGTATTGTAGACAGTATCGAGATTATTTTTTTTACAGAATCTATCAAAAGTAGAAATAACATCAATTTGTCTTGTGCACATGCAACTTATTTGTAAAAAAACAATGAAATAAAATGATGAAATAACCAACTCTGCTTGAATATTATCACCTTATTTCTGATCAAGTAAAGGGAACACCAATTGTCTCCCCTTGAACACTGTATTCTATATTACCATTTTGATTGCATCTAAAATAGCTTGTCCATGCATCCATGGTGGGGGTTCCGGTTCAGAATGGTGAATTTTTGTACAAGGTATTCCCGGTCTTGTATAATTATTATAAACATGTGCCCTTCGGAAACTTCCTTGAAAGATAGGTTTGTCCTTAGCTAACATTTCACTAAAGGTTTCTGTTATCACTTGTAATGAGTCAACTGCAAGTGCTGAATCTGACTGTAAAATAAACAGTTATTACACGATAGTTAAACATAAACTTACATGCTCTTTCTTGTGCGAGAACTGCCAAATACAATTGTACATTTTAAGTGTAACATTCTTTATGTGGTTGTCGCAATAAAGAAGCTTACAAATTATTTGTTGGTTTTTGGTCGCTTTCTGTTATTTTATTGTTTTGTATTTGGTTGAGTCGGGGCCTTTCGTAGCTCACTAAACAGTATGCGTATGCGTTCGCTCATTGTTAAAGGTCGTACGATGGGTGACATATCCTTTTGTACGTCAACGTCATGTGGATTCTGGTGGATAGTTGTTTCAATGGCAATCTACCACAGCTTTTTATTTTAATATCAATATTAGATTAGGACGATGTGGTATTATTGCCAATGAGACAACCCTCCACCACTGACCAAATGACGTTGAAGGTTAGCAACTATAGGTCACTTTAGGGTCTTCGATATGTCTTCTTTATATTAACCCTAACTGTTTTGTCATGTCATAAAGAAACGTATAGTAACATGACATAATTTATATCAAACTGCAATCTAGCGTGCTATTGTTTCTCTACGAATTTTATTCTTCAAATGTTTTTTTCTATATATGCAGACAATATTCTCGTTAAGATCAAATCAAGTTCTTAGTTGAAATAGTTTCTAAAGCCCTTTTCCCCAAATGTGACCTACCGAATTAGACTTATTACAGGGTTTGTACTAACATGAGCAACACGCCACGTGTGGAGCAGGATCTACTTACCCTTCCTGAGCACCTGAGATCACCCCCAGTTTTTGGTGGGTTTCGTATGGTTCAGTCTTTAGTTTCTATGTTGTTTTTTTTGTACTATTGTTTGTCTGTTGGTTTTTCGCTTTTTCACTTTTTTAGCCATGGCGTGGTCAGTTTATTATCGACTGACGAGTTTGAATGTCCCTTTGGTATCTTTCGCCTCTCTTTTTTAACGTTTGATAACATGTTTTTTTTATTATTTAGGTGTAGAACTGGTATGTTGGAATAATCTTTTTGTTCGTTCTACATGTATACGTTTTTGCAGAAAGTAAACCTGTTGGTGACCTTCTGCTGTTGTCTGTTCTATGGTCGGGTTGTTGTCTCTTTGACACATTCCCCATTTCCATTCTCAATTTTACTCTTCATTTAGAATATTTGAAACTGCATGTAAAAGTGAAATAATGTTTAAAGCAATGAAACAATGAGGTAATGCATTCTAAAAACCATTCTATAGACTCTTTTACTTTTTTACAAATAAATGTTACCATTAATTCGCCTCCTGCACCTCGGTATTCATTCGAACTTGCATTTTCCCATTTTCGAACGAATCGCTTGTACTGCTTGTTATTGGGGTCAATTATATCAAATCCAGTCAGGTTAACGCCTCCATGAATAAAACGTCTAAAATCTAACCGAGAAAAATCCTAAAAATAAATGTATATTTTTCATATTATATCAGAAGCACCAATACAGGAAAAGAAAATAATTAACACCACAAAAATGTCTTTGGCTACTTTATTTTATAAGTATTTAAAGAATTGTGATGAAAGTAAAAAAGACGTATTATTATTTGTGAAGATATTTTAAGGATGTACTCAGGTGAGGTTTATGAATTTTTGTCAAATGTTCGGACTTCTTGAATATTTTCCTACGATATAGGGTAAAATATTTTGCCCAATATCACCCACTTTTCTTTTCATAGAAGATTTCTATAGCTCATAAAAAGGTCATCACCAAAGTTTAAGCAGACTCTAGATTTTCTTTCTTACGATTGGAGACCTATTAATGTCAATGCTAAATATAAGGTAAAAGTCCGAGTCAGCCTTTTCCCGCCAATTAAAAAAAATCAAATATCTCAAAAAGGTGTTCCACAACCTATCAATATTTTTAGCTTATTTTGTTCCTTAACTAATATTTTTCTGACTTCTAGTATCAATTTTAAACTCTAGATTTTTTTTAATTTCACCTAAGTACATTCTTAATGATGATAATAGTTAAAAACATACCAGAGTTGTCAGCAAATAAAAATATTCATGTTTGTTCATTCCAACTTCTGCAATCTACGAGGAGAAAGAAATAAAATCACAGTCATCTCAAAGTACATTTTCTAAATCTAAGTTTATACAATCTACGAGGAGAAAGACATAAAATCATAGTCATCTCAAAGTGCAGTTTCTAAATCTAAGTTTATAAAAATAAGAGGGATGTGGTATGGTTGTCAGTGAGAATTCTCTCCACCAGAGACCAAAAGCCTTAGAAGGTAACAGCTATAGGTCCCGAAATGACAAATGTAAAACAATTCAATTGAGAAAACTAACAGTCTGATTTATGACTTGGGACAGGCGCATACAGTATGTGAAGGGATTAGACATGTTTGTTTGCGCAAAACCCTCCCCCTATGTTCACATTTAAAATTCGATGAGTCAGAGATTCGTAAGTATGTAAGGACATTTATAACCAACAGGTGCTTGCAAACTAATATATACATGTATATATACAAGTACAAATGTATATAGAATTATATATAACAAAAGGGATTTCAAAGCAAACGCCGACCTATATTATGAGTAGTATGCAAACAAAGTGACATCTATAGGGACCTGTTATAATGTTACACATATTTAACCAACAGGTACTTGTAAACACATAGTTGAAAACACATAGTTGAAAACACATAGTTGGAAACACATAGTTGGAAACAATAGTTGGAATCACATACTGTATAGGGTAAATATATAACTCGAAATATTTTACTAGAGATCTATATAACAAACAGAGCGTCAAAGCAAATATATATAATATGGACCTATATATTCAACGGAAGTCTCAAAGCAAACACATCGGGGCCATTTATAAGATCGATACTTTGTATTTTTGTCTTTTTCTTAGTTGTATTGTGTTTCGTGAAAATCTGATGAGTCAAGTCATTTCAAACTGATTTTTACAGTTTGCTCCTAAGTTGTGCTGTTATACCATGGTCCTAGATTAGGGAAGGGATGTGCTATCACAAAGACGTTCATTCCCGCCACATTCTTTACGTGAATGTCCAAGGTCAGTAGCCTGTAACTCAATGTTTGTCGTTGCTTGCTGTCTGTCATATTTGTTTCGTTATTGTTTTGTTCATAAATCAGGCTGTTGGTTTTTTGTTTTATTTGTTTTATTTTCATTTTCTCATGTCGTGGCCTTTTGGAACTGAATATACGGTATGGGGTTTGCTCATTGTTGAAGGCCGTATTTTGAGTTTTTGTTGCTTAAATCCATTTCATTAGAACACTAAATCGACACAATGTAGATGTCCCATGAACAGTTTATGTTATATATATAGTGACCTTTTGACTGGTAGTATCGCTAAATTACTGTCTCATTGATGTGATACCCTGCACTTATCTCTCTCATATCTATAAACCAAACGTATCCTCAAACAAATATATAACATATAAATACCAATATGTCCAGACAGAAAATAAACTAATAGCGAAAACCGTGCGAGGTCAACTATTCTAGTGGGATTCTATGTATAAAATGTACAAAATTTCTCAGCTGACTTTTTATTTAAAGGTTTGACATAAATCATGGTAAATGTCGAACGTTCACTTCTTGACAGATACCTCCGTGGATTTACAATTATCTAACAGTTGTATCGACACAGTGATTGTTTATCTCGATGTACATCTCACTAATAAGTGGACATCAACGCAACATTATATATTAGGCTTATGAAATAGACGCTTGCAAACGACAGAAGTGTTAAACAAGAAAACAGTGATTTACAACATAAGTTTTACAGATGTTTATAGTAAATATATTGCAGTTGTTCACTATTGTGTGACGAAACGGTCGATCGGTTGTAAATTCAATCAAAGTACTGAAGTACTGAACATCGGATGACCACAAGTTCTTGAGGATGGTCAAAAGCACTTGTCTCAGAAAAAAAAAACAACATATCTCTTTACCTGAAACTGAGGTTAATGTACAGAGATATATTTTTTTCTAGACAAGTGCGTGCGAGTATGATGAATAAATGACAAGAAATTCAACTTCACCGTAATAACTATTTATTTATATTGTAGTGATACAAATCAGTATACACTGATTTGTTGTTATATATTATATTAAAATAACAGTTACATATATATATGATTTGCATCCGTTTGTATATCATTCTATTCTACTGTTCTAATAATAGTGCAATGCAAGTGCATGGTGGACACTTTTTCTGTAAAAGTTCGATTTTTTCTAAGATTGGATACGAGTAGGCATTCATATTTTCCCGCAAAAACAATTACAGAGTTACCGGTCCTGTCGCAAAACGTTCTTTGAGATATTCTTCCGCATGCTTTAACACAATTTTTCGGTACGTGTGCATTGATATTATCAATGATTTTTTACTTATATATATATATCTAACTACAAAACATTTTCACATTATTAATTTATGTTGTAAACAAAAATATTTTTATCAGTATTCATTGAAGAGATGTATTTATATCAAATAACAAGGAATGTTATTTTGCACTCGTTTATGTGCGCATATTTATCATGTTTATAGATCGGTTACAAACCCAAAACTAATTTACATAATGGAAATCTAGGCGATAGCAATACATCGGAATGACCTCAAGGTCATCGCGATGTAAAAAGTAATATACGTAGTAAAGAACAATATATTTTGAATTGAATTTTAATTTTTCCTATATCTTTAACATAAGTTTACATGCCTATTTTGTGTTTTTGTATATTATTGTTCTCCTTTGGTCATTATTCGTTTTTTGCCATGGCATTGTCAGTTTGTGTGTTCGGATAGTGAGTTTGGTGTCGTTTTGATATATTTCGCCTCTGTTATATAAAGGGTGCATTTCTTTCTAACCAAAATTTTGTAAACGTTGTGTGCCGTTTGTTATCGTTTGCTAAACGCTACAAAAGTAGAAACAAATACTCTGTTTAATCAGACGGCGTGCATATAGCTGAGTCTACAAACGTAACGTCTTCAAAATACTTTTAAAAGTCATTTACGACGTCGACATTTTTTCCTCAGAAAACAAACGCGTAACAAAAACACTGGACACTTAGTTTATCACATTACTTTAAACATAAACTTTAAACATATTTCTTTTTTTTTTCGAACAACAAAGTGCAGCAAATAAACATTCCGGAAATATAAATAAATATATGCTAAGAGCAGTCTAACGGAAATAATAAGCGACTATGTCGTGGACCCTATTAAGAAAATAGCGTTAAAACGTAATTTCTTTAAATTGTAAGATAATAGCTGGACATTTAAAATTGTCAGGTGTTCAGCCTGGACTATCGAACCATTCATATTTTGCAGATTTTTTTAAACCTATTGTTATGCACATATGGAATATCAAGTTATTTCGAAATTAAAAAAAAACAATTACATATTTTTTCTTACCGATTCTTACATTTTCGAATATTAATCCTTCCAAATTACTACTTCTTACACATAACGAACTACATTCCAAACTCATCTTCCATGGCCGTTTCTGAATTTTGTTGCATTGAATTTCGTCTGACGTCATAGTCCGAATCCGAAAAATTCTATTATAAGAAAATGCGGGAAAATATGTTGAATTTGTATAAATTTTAGGTCAAAAACTCTATTTTATGCTTATTCAATGTTACAAGTTTCACCTATTTTTGCCGTTTTCTCTATGGTCGTTTCATACTTTATAGATTTAATTTTGATAACCTTACTAGTAATGTGGATTTTAATGGCTAGCATTCAATATTTGATCATAAAAAAACTTCCTATTTAAAAGATATTTTAAACACGGTTGTATAAAACTACTTTTAAAAGCGCATTTTACAGTTGCCGTCAACTTTTTGCACGCCGTCTCAGTGTTTACTGACCCTGTTTGAACTTTCAATAATGCATGCAGATGTTGTTGGTAAACAGACTTATTACAAAAGCTGAAACAAACACATCGTTTAATCAGGCTGAAGTTCGAAACAAATGTAGCGTTTGTACTAACAAACGATGAACGACAAACTGTAGACGCAGTTTTAGCGATTGCATAGTTTGTCAAAGTTTAGATAAACTTTGCAAACGTATGTTAGAAACAAATGATCAAAACATGTGCGCGCTTAGCCGTGTGTATCGTTTGTGTTAGAAAGAAATGCACTCAAAGTAAATCCTTGAATTTGAAGCGCGTTGTCCAACTTTCTTTTTCAGTTTATCTTGATCAAGTTTTGTATACAAGATGGTGAACAAATAAAGGAGGCTGTAATACTTACTTGTTTTAAAACTGATGTAAATGCATCATAAGACGAAAGATCAAGTATTATCTTTTTATCATCTGCAGTATTCATCCTATCTAATGTGCGCAAATCTTCATGTGCGTGATAAACATCCTCTAGCTTCCGGTATGTAAATCGGACGTCCGTATGCCTTGGCAATGTGCTAAATATTTCTTGTAATCGTTTCAGACCTATAAACAAACAAAAAAATATTTTTTTACTAGATTCCATAACAAACCATTGATTCTAAATGAAACTGAACTATTATTATTTTTTTGGAATTTGATATTGCATGGCAAGCTCCCAAAACATCTGATACAATTACACAGAAAATACTTTAATGATTTTACCCTACACAACGAAACATCAAGAAAATGGACAAACGATCTTACATTCAGTATGGTATACTGCGGCTATTTCTTTGCATTTTTCTCCTTCTACATAATATTTTTATAGATATATATATCAATACACTAAACTTCAATACATACGGACAAGATAAACGAGCCATATACCTTCACATAAAGAAACATCTTTCCAAACGATCGTATATTCAGTAAAGGCTATTGCAATTATTTCTTTTTCAGTTAATTCTCCATAGTCTTTCATAGGGATATATCATGAACATTAAGTTCTATATATACTGGGGGCCTCGGTGGCCAAGTGGTCTAAGTAGTTCTACTACTGTAATCACTAGCCAGTCAACACTGAGGTTGTGAGTTCGAACCCCGCTCGTGCGGGTGCACTCGACTGTCAGTTTCCTATCGAAGGTCGGTGGTTTTCTCCGGGCACTCCGGCTTCCTCCACCAATAAAAACTGGCCGCCATGAAATAGCCCAAATGTGGCGCTTAAAAGTGGCGTTAAAACAACAACAATCAATCAATATATACTGAATAGATAAACGCGCCATGTCTTTGAAAACATCTTTCCAAACGATCTTAATGTGGAGAATGATTTGTGACTAACTGTTAACAGCATTACATGATTTTCATATGGATTATGTACATACACGAATCTTTTATTTTTCCGTTTTTTCCTGTCTTGTACAGTTATAATTGAAATGCTGACAAAATGTAATTAACTACAGAAGATAAATGTAGTCAAGCGTTAACACCACTTAAATGTTTTCTGGAATTACAATACTTCACGGAAAGCAGACAAATAAGAAAGTTATTCAAGCTTGTACAATTGCTCTGCAGGATTAAAAGCCGATCTATCATTATTTAAGCTAATACTCCTGTAAAAAGGTTATTGTATCGGGTCGTGATTCAATCTCTGATATCTTAAGAATTTGTCGCAGTTTATTCGGTCGTTTGTGATATCTACCATATGGTGTCCAATGACTGCAAATGGTTTACTTGGATAAAAGATACAAAATCAATAAGGTTTAGTTAAACTGTTGATGAAAATATCTTGAAATTATATTGCAATAATTTTATATTCTACTAGATTTAAAAGTATTTAAGGCTTCACGTCAAATGATATCCAAGGTTATTCATGGTGAAAAAAGTCGTTCAGCACAGAAATTCTAAAATTTAAAGAATGATTAGCAGTATTGTTTTTGGTGCATTCTAAAATGCAGTAAATTATCCTTTTCGTGTTCTGTTGCATCTAATAAACAAGATTTTCTCTTGAAATGATTGTAACAAATCTGGAATAGATGAGTCCCTTGTCAGTTGCTGAGGACGTTTGAAGGAGAAATTACTTACATGTCATTGGACTTTAAACATTAACATAATTATTATAATACATTTTAAATAATCAAAAGTGCTCAACGCGAAGTGTTTATAAATGGGTAGTTTTTGGGATTCTTGTTAAATGTAAGATGCTTTTCTCATTCATTGAACTACATCTGCATGTCTGTAAACGATATAATATATACAATTCAAAAGATATAATATATCAAATTGTAAATTTGTAAGAAACAACCACAAATGTATAAACAAAATGCACTCTTTGTTTATTGAAATTGCGATTTCAAGAAAACCTGTTCTAATAATTTAGTTAAAAAATTATATATATAAAAATAATTATTGCTTTCGGAAATTGCTTAAATCTCATTTCAATTGATTGGCGTAGTTATCTTAAAGTTTACAGTTTTAAGTGCAAAATAGTTTTCAGCTTATGCAATCCGTTTCGTAAAATTTGGATTAGTTACTAAAAAACATATTTTTCTTAGAAAGTTACCTTCGCGTGTGTCGTTTATTTAACCCTCTAACATCTCGCCTCCACTTCCTTACATTGAATCATCAAACCTACATTTACCAATGATTTATATTTGTATGTTTTATAAAATTTCATAACGTATAGTCTACAGAATAAACGTCCAAGTCAATACATCCAGTCACATTACAATGCACGTTAAATTATTTGGTACAAATCAAATTAAGGCAGAAATATTTCAACCTCAGGGGAGTCTCTGAATGCAACTATGTATGTAAATAAAATTTATATTGAGCGACGGGTTTTGTTAGCTTATCCATTCTTTCGTAACAGTGTTTTAGATGAAGATAGATCGTTTTTGACATTTTCAGACGTCAATCTTGAAGTTTTGTATAGTTGGAAGCACGTTGCGTTATAGATTCAAGGCCTCGCGGGAATCTTATGGGATTAAATTGTGTGAGTTTCAGCTAAACTTTTTGATATTGTCTGTTCCGGTGAATAATTTCAGATTTTAATCTGTGAAAACCATTATGTCAGCAGCAAATACTGTATTTTTTCTTTATTTTTTTCCATATGAATGTCACAAAGCCCAATTAACCAAAATAAGACGGTGATAAAAAGAGATTACTTCATTTTATGATTGATAATTAATAATGTTTGTCATTGCTATGATCTTAATGGAAGGATAAAAATATGGTATACTACCTAGTATGATTAAGTAAACACACAATCCGAAAACAATTGATACCATAACGGGTTATCTAAAATGAATGCTTTGATCCAAGAATAGATAATATCTCTAGTCACACTATTAGAACAATTGGGATCCACAAATAGCAAAACAAATATAATACAAGTAATAAATCTCAAATGCTGATATATAATGGTTCTGAAAGAATAGAAATCAGATATATTTTTGCATGAAAATTATCTTATTTTGTAATACAATTTCAAAGCACAGAAAAGTACAGATGACAGTAATTTTCCTTTTTCTAGGTTACTATTTAATTGCCAGATTATGAAATTGTTTTTTTTTTCTAAATCTACCGTTTACTGCTGTTAACTAAATAATCATTTGTGGGTATTGTTTATGAAATTCTTCTTGTTTGGATCGTACTATAATTGCTATAATTTCGTCATTAATTAGCTTGCATAAAATGAACATGACCTTTTGGATCCGTCTTATTTTTCTTACAATCTGACGAATATAATAAAGAAAGGATCTCACTGGAAATGCCACACGAGGAATATCATTTACACATACAATTGTTATTTATTGCCTTTCTATAAAATAAACCACTTTAACGACATATTTTTTTCTTCATAGATATAAGAAGATGTGGTATGAGTGCCAATGAGACAACTCTCCATCCAAGTCAAAATTTATAAAAGTAAACCAATATAGGTCAAAGTACGGTCTTCAACACGGAGCCTTGGCTCACACCGAACAGCAAGCTATAAAGGGCCCCAAAAATTACTAGTGTAAAACCATTCAAACGGGAAAACCAACGGTCTAATCTATATAAAAAATGAGAAACGAACCACATCAACAAACGACAACTACTGAACATCAGATTCCTGACTTAGGACATGTGCAAACAAATGCAGCGGGTTTAAACGTTTTAATGGTACCAAACCTTCACCCTTTTTCTGAAACAATAGTGAACATCAGAATCCTGACTACAAGCTATTTTTGAAAATTTTAAAACGTTTTTTAATTAATGTCGATCAATGTGTCTTCAATGCTCTTCAACTTCGTACCTTATTTGTTTTTTTTTTTTCTTCTTTTTTTTTTACTTTTTTATTCGAGCGTCACTGATGAGTCTTTTGTACACGAAACGCGCGGGCGTACAAAATTTTAATCTTAGTATCTATATATGATTTATTCACATACATGTTGCAGCGTAATTATATTCCAAACCTTGTCGTAAGGGTATAATTGCATAAGACAAGGGAATATGGTATTGATTTTTTTGTATTGATTGTTCCTGGATTAACGTCAAGGGGCAAACATTGTATGCATATTCAGGACGAGAATAATTGATTCAAAAGCTAAATTATGCAAGGTAAGTCGACAAAGATAAAGTGCGTGCAATTTGGATCGGCACTGGGAAGTGAAGGTATTTTGTATAAGGCAGAATTTGTTCCTTGCAACAGGCCACTTATAATGAACCAATCAGTGAGTTTTTGCAAGTTTTTAACATGCAGAGAGCGTGGCACTCATCCTACATGAGGCATAGGAAATTAACGTCCCTATCCAGGCTGGACGTGACAAGAGTATAGGGATAACCATATTTCTATACCCTTCTTAACCTTTGGGGTTGAAATAAATAAACAAAGGAAGTATTTCTATCTTAAAGCAGTGTACCCACCCCCTTAAAAAAGCGGAATAGAATAATACTGCTTTTACGAAAACCAAATGTGTAAACACGGCGTTAAAAAAGATTAATTTAAATTGTAAAATTATACGTTTAAAGAATGCGGAAATTATAGTGATTATATCATAAATCTTGCATTTGCATAAAGTTAAAGGCAATAGTAATAAGATGACGCAATCAAAACGTGTAATTCGAAGGCGATGATGACGACAGTCGTGAATTGGTGTTTAACGTTCAGTGAACAATATTACATACATAACTTCACGAGAACATGTTAATGTGATATGAATATGAACCTTGCTTTATACTAGACCGAAACGCTTAGACGGATTTTAACGTGGTATTTCACCAGGTAAAATTCCACAGGAAGACATATCACTCTACCTAAAAACATTCATCTTTAAGCACTCTACATCGAGACCAACGGTTTTAATGGAAGAGCCACAACAACCAAATGCAAAATGACTAGAAAAATAAAAGGACTTGACTAGTTTTTAATCTTACTCATAAATATCGCGTGTTTAGCGGAGAAGCAGCAGAGACTAATTTTCAAATATCTGATTTGACCGGTATGATACAGAACATCCCGTACTCGAGGCGTGCACGCTATCGCGATACTGGAGAGGCGGTCGATGTCATAAAAGGGTAGACAACATAACGATCAACTAATCAAAAGATGACAAAAAGCCAAAGTAAGTGTTGATATTTATTATTGATCCCAATAAACTAGTTTAACCCTGTCGCCATTAGTCATGAACCTGACAATGTACAAAGTCTTGAACATCACCATCGGTTGTCTTATGTCCTATCTTAAAGTTTTTTGTTTTATTTTGGGAATTTGGTATTGCTGGCAGAAATTGACAGTTTTATTTGATTTACTCACAACATTTCAAGCAATCCAGAGTTTGATATATTTATATTGTTAAAGACTATAAGCTGACCTTAAGATATCTTTGATTATTTTATTGTTCAGTTGCTGCCATTGACGAATACCCAACATTTTCTTTTATTAAAAAATTACAACAATACTCCGGTCCATAAAACATTCCGCGTAAAGTCTTATTCTTAATATCGATCAATGCTAAAAGCATGATCGGAGGTATTTTGTAGATGTCACGTCTGAATGTCTGTAAACAGGCGGAAAATGAACCTTTAGAGTGCAATTGTCTAGCAATGCTACATAGAATAGCCAATCATTTAGAGCTGAATAAGTTTTTTTTATATAAACGATTCGTACTAAAATGTCGTCACAGGGTAACGGAAATATAAAATAACATTTAAAAGCAATTGCCTGATTGCTTAATGACTCATTCGCCAAATATTTTTTTACAAATTCTGATCCAATTCATCAACAATGGCTTAGATCTTGTAAGAAATAAAGCTCGCATATAACCATTTTTTTTTTGGATTAAGTCTTTTCGAGCAAATTTTTATTCTGGTCACGGTAAATATTTTTCAAACATATATATCATATATAACCCGTAACAACTTCATATTATTATACAATTCATATAATATTATACAATTCATATTTTTATACAATCATTAAAATCATCTAATTCATATGACAAACATATTACTTCTATGAATTTGAATTTTTCTATTCACAAAAGTTTGATTTAAGGTAGCACAATACAAAGATTTTATATCTCCAACTCCCCAGTTTTAAAATGCTGTAACTTTCTTTATAATGCTTGAAAATTTATAAAAGTGGTATTTATGGATAGCTAACAGATTACTCTTTCAAATTAATGCAATGTTAGTATTATACAACAATTATGTAATTAATTATAATTTTAACTGTGTCTACAAAATTTTACAAGAAATTTCGACTTTCAATTGAAATTAGCTTCTTCATGGATACCCCGAGAGGGTTGATTTTACAATATGTTGTTCCTAGAGCCATTATCTATAAAAGGGTGTCTCAGATTTTGGATAGAATGTATAGATCAAATTTTACACCTAATCAAATAATCTCTACTTTTATGTGGTAAGGATGTTTACACTAATTACAGATTTATGAGAGAATGGAATACGATAGCGATAATTTGAGACACCCTTTTGTAGCTCCTGCTGTGTTGATTAAGATAACGTTAAAATTTCTTGTGTAGTTCTAGAGATGTCAGAGCTAAATTCATTCAAGTGAACTGACCAAGATTTTGCCATTAATTGCATAATAATTGATTACATAATGATTGCATAACAAAAATATTGCATTCATTTAAAAGATTATTCTTTTATCTATCTATATATACCTCTTTTATTAATTTGTATGCAGTCATAAGAAAGTAACATCATTTTAAAGGTTGGAGATTGGAAGTAAAAAAAATCTTTGTATTGTGCTACCTTAACATGCTTAAAAATATGTAAACACAGAAAATATTTATTGTGTGCACTATGGCATAATTTGATATAGATTGTTTTAGAAAATACTATGATATCCATGAATCTCTCTTTTTGGTGCTTAATGTATTTGTTATATCTGAAACATTACTAGACCTCGTGCATTGTAAAATCAAGCAACCTTATTTTGTCTTCACTCAACGTCAAACAATTTACAAAGGAATTCCCAGATGGTGTCTTTATTTTGAGTGTCATCAATGTTAATAAAATATCTAGTTAAAAATGCGTCAGCTTTAGAATAGAATTCAATGTGAATTATATGAGACATAAGCAGAATTTTCTACCGCAACGCGACAAAGTTTAAAACCTACGAAATACCTAACTTAGTTATAACGTGTTAACTTTCTACGTCATTTGGTCTCTGGTGGCGAGTTTTCTCATTGGCAATCATACCACATCTTTTTCTTTTTATATATTGGAAGCATACAAATAGATGAAACAAAATTGAGGTGTGAAGACATTTAGGAACATAAGGGTATTCCTTCAGAAATATGATACACCAACCACGACAGTAAACACTCAACATGTACATTGGTATGAGGGTCGTTAGTGACTCGATATATTCCATGCTGAGAGGTAAACACAAATGTAATGTTTGTCCAAAATGTTGACTTAAAAAGCATTCATGTACATGTATGAAACAATTTATAAGAATCTTTGCACAAAAAATTTATAAACATGACCATATTGAATACGCTAGTTTGTGTAATTATCATTTGAAACATGTATAAAACTGCAGTTAGAATTCCATGTACAGTTTCAAAGGGCCTATGCTAATGATATAATTGAGGTTTTTATATAACTTACTACAACATTTATTTGAAATAAACTTCGGGACAAATTGGTAAATGAGTCGTGCGCTTTCGAAATCCACCCAATCCCGGAATGTATATAGCACTTAGCAAGAAAAAAGCAATATACAAAACAAAATGATGTTTATCGTACAAAATATTTTATGAAAGTATGATTTCATCAAAAAAGAAATGAACATAACAAACAAACAAAAGAAGACAACAGGTATCATACATAAATATCGAGAAAAAAAGAAAGAAAATAACATTTTTTTTTAATTACCTTCATTTGAATCGTATAGATAGTGGACAACTTGCCAGTCGAAGTTTATTATCAAATCGATTATGGCTTGTGTAATCGGTGGCTTCATACTGACTTGGAAACTATCGTAGGTAGCTACTGCCACTCTGGATAAACTTGGTGAGATGTAAGGCATGTGGAATCGTTTAGTGTAGTGGTCAATTATCTCCAAAGAATGAATACTTTTAGTTCCGAAAAATAGGAAAACACCAGTATTCATCTGACTACATACTGAAAGAAGAATATGATATTTGAAACAGTTACATGTAGTACACACAGTTACATGTAGTACACACAGTTACATGTAGTACACACAGTTACATGTAGTACACACGTTACATGTAGTACACACAGTTACATGTAGTACATAGTTACAAGTAGTACACACAGTTACATGTAGTACATACAGTTACAGGTAGTACACACAGTTACATGTAGTACACACAGTTACATGTAGTACATACAGTTACATGTAGTACACACAGTTACATGTAGAACACACAGTTACATGTAGTACATACAGTTACATGTAGTACACACAGTTACATGTAGTACATACAGTTACATGTAGTACATATACTAAAAAATATAACAATATGAGTTTTACGTTTATATAACTGCAGTTTGTACAAGAACATAGTTTGTAAATATCCTTCTTTTTATGACCTTCCCCTTCAAACTCTGTCACCTGGTATCCTTTAACTTTTTTTACATACATTAATGAATGCAATAAAGAGAAAATGGAAACTCGTTGCTGCAAATAGAAAGGCTTTCAATATTAAAGTTGATGTTGATAAAATTATATAACTTAAAACAGTTGACTAAAAATATGTGCTAGTAAAGGAATTGTATATCGACATTTTCAAACTATTGAAGATTTTTTCAAATTATAATGTGAACTTAAAAGTAAATGGAAGCAGGAATTATGACTGAATTTTATTTTACTGAATTCTTATTGCAAAAGAGGGATGACAACGAATATGAAGCATAACCGATATCCGTTTGAAGATCGATGGAAGATATTTTAGCGCCTTGATAGGACATTTTAGCGAAAACAATCGGACGTTTTAGAGCCAAAGTATAGCCCATTTTAGAGCCAGATTTTTTACTCATTTTAGCGACAGAAATTTATTTATAGCATAGTACAATGATAAGTATAGCATGATCAAGACAGTACAATTTAAAAAATATCATTTCCATCAAAATACAGCTCTCATACAGTCTAACATGATACGTCATAGGTTTGAGTGTCAATTTATGTCCTAGTAATTTTATGTAATAGGCTCTAGATGTACAATCATCTTCCTCAAATTGTGACAGGAACTTTCTTTCTCTTTATCTTGTCTAGCTTAAAGTGCAAATTCATCGATACTTCTCATTTTGATATATTATATTGTTTGTAATTTGATGATAGTATCCGTAAATGTAAACTGCCGGGTGACGTAAGCCATCACATCTACACCACTTTCAATTCCTCTGTTTGTTTCCACAACGGTTATTTCCATTATTAACCAAATTGTATATTAAGGTGGTACATAAATACTACAGGGAGATAACTCTGTAAAAATCAGCTGAACGTTTCAATCACGTTCTATTGTTAAGGAAATATTAAGCTTCTCAATAATCAAAATTAGTGTTTGTCAAACTGCTATATATCCAATGAACTTTTCCGATAAAGTGTGTGGTTCAAGTTTTTTGAAATTTTTATTTGTCAAAGGTTCAAAGTAAGTATTTTGTCAAAATTTTATGAAAATTAAACAAGCCAAATTAATTTTAGTCAAGAGTTTGGTACCACCTGAATACAACTGAAACATAAAGCCAGCATATTAGATTACAGTTCATGGTTTAGTATGGGGGAGTTCTATTCAATCAAGTAAGTTTTCGCTATAATGGGCTGTCGGAAATACAGATGAACGGAACAATACGGCGCTTATACAATGGTTATAGTGTCTTTTCCTGAATGTTGCTAGATGTTTAACATGTTTCGCTAAAATGTCCTGCGCCCTTGAAGATATATTACAGAACATACATTCTGATTGTACTGTTAGATCTTTATTTGTTACATCGTATGTGAATAAATAATATTGAGGATACACATCAGAAATAATCAAATGAAACAATTTCAAAAGATTTTTTGTTATGAAAATGGAGACCAAAATTACAGCCTGTGAAATGTCAAGGAACGTTATTCTTTATTCAGAAGAGTGAGGTGACTGACTCCACCTTGTTTATGTTAGTCTTGTCTCTTGACTTTCATACACAAGGTCATTTGGTGTGTTTAAGACCCACTAGAAAGTTAGACTGATCTACATATAAAGCAAAGTCATGCTACCTACATTTGTATTTCAGTGCATTTGACACGTCTTTTTCGAACAGTTAAATATCATGTCGCAGATTTTTGGTATTTATTTCAACTTTTTGCTATCACTCAGGAAAATATACGGCAATACTACAAAGCTATTTAAAATTGCATGTTCACTATTTTGATGCTTTAACATGGATTTATTAAAATGCACCAAAGTAATGTACATGTAGTACCGTTCTTCTAACATTATGTAGTATTTTAGAGGTACACAAACGTATACGGTACTTGTTACTTATCTTAAATTTTCATTACCGTAATCCTTACTTTTATCAATTTCCTGAACAAAGTGGGAATATAAAAAGCATTAAGCAAGTGCATATATGTGACCTGCCATGACGTTTCCAGGCTTATGAAAGTATTACGTCAATGTGAGAAAAACGTCGTTTACTTTCAACGGTACGTCTAATTCTGTATGAGGACATACAAGTATATTTCTGTGATAAATTTAGAGTGTGGATGCTTTTTAGCATTTAACATGAGACATAATAAAAAGATAAAAAGTGTTTTGCTAAAACATGCGAATTAATCATATTCAACAATACAAAGTCTGGTTTATTTATTCTGCATATTTTTCGTTTTTACATCTGTCTCAAAAACGTGTATATTTTAGCGTCTTTTTTCTAGTATATTGTAGATCATACTTTCGTATAATTACTTTTTTTTAAATACCAATAATGCCATACTACTAGATTATTCCCAATTTTGTTTCTATACTGGTGTATCTTCTATTATGATCAACGGTTTGATATCAAATATTCAAGTGACATTTGTCGCTGGCATTTATAGGCAGTCAACTATTTTATTATATTGAACTTATAACTTTACAAACTGATATTGCGTAATGCGTTCTCTACTTTGATGATCTTTCAGAATTGAAAAGAACATGTATACTGTATATTTTTAAAAAAATTGTCCAAAATGTATCAAATTGAAATAATTGTTCGATTTTAGATTACTTCAGATAATTACTAAAAAGTTCTATGTGTATCTTCGTCACAATAGTTTCTTAATTAAATGTATAAACCTGGTGAAATGAGAAGTACAAATATTCCTTAAATAGTTGGTCCTAATCGACCAACCGTTGTTGTATTTTGCTTTTAGTTTCATACAGTGAACATCTTTAAGCAAAAACGAATATGCCCTATTCCACGGGCAATAGACCTTTTTCATATTACCGACTTTTGACTTCGGAGTTTATATTTTTTCGACAGGTTACCTACTCTGTGGTAAGACATCCTGGTACTCACTCGGTCAAGTAAGAGCAAAGTAAAAAAAGTAAAATCAAGCTTTTAATCGATACAATTAATGGGGAAAATTAACTGCTTTACATTTTGTTAACACGATAAAATCATCAGAAAACAGAAAACTTTCCTCTCAAATTGCACAGATTATGTGTTTGATTTTTCTTCTTTTGGTTGCTCTTACTTGACCGAGTACCAGGATGTCTAACCACAGAAAAGGTAACCTGTGGAAAAATTATATAATCCGGAGTCAAAAGTCGGTAATATGAAAATAGTCTATTTGATTGCTATTTTTAACCAGTTTGAGTGCCCTTCATACTATGATCAGTAATCATTCTTTTATTGTGAATATCACTGTCATATATGTTGTATAAACAAAGTACCAACGATCCCTGTTATCATTATATATACAAATATATAAAAATATATCTACCATAAAAAATAAATAATTTATTTGGAAATGCCAAAATGCCTTTCTGTTTTTAGAACACAGCAAACTGATGTAATACTTCTTCTGTTTAATGTGCTATTCAAATATTATGCAAGAGCATGAGACTGAAAAGAACCAAAGCATATAATGAAGGCAAATACAAGATTGAACAGTAAACACGCAATAATTAAGATAGTCGTAACGAAACCACGCACGATCAAATATTTCGTGGAATGCATGTTAATTCAACATTTCACAAACGAAATCTGACATTTCAAAGGAAGGAAGTGAAATAACTTGAGACAACAAAAGACTCTAACTTGCATAACATTAACATGAAAGAATTGCATACAAATATGTGTATGTTTTTTTTTTAAATCTTTACATGTATATAGATATGAGAAGATGTGGTATGAGTGCCAATGAGACAACTCTCCATCCAAGTCAAAATTTATAAAAGTAAACCATTATAGGTCACAGTACGGTCTTCAACACGAAGCTTTGGCTCACACCTAACAGTAAGCTATAAAGGGCCCCAAAACATTACTAGTGTAAAACCATTCAAACGGGAAAACCAACGGTCTAATCTATATAAAAAACGAGAAACGAGAAACACTTATGAACAACATCAATAAACGACAACTACTGAACATCAGATTCCTGACTTAGGACAGGTGCAAACAAATGCAGCGGGTTTAAACGTTTTAATGGTACCAAACCTTCAACCTTTTTCTGAAACAATAGTGTAACATCACAACATAGAAAGACACACTATAAAATATCAACTGAAATAGCTTAACTCAATCAAAGGACATATTAACACCATAGAACATACACTGAACAAATAAATTTGACCTATGACACAATGTAAATACAAAATAAATAAACTAAGGGAAGAATAATAAAAGTAACATGTTATATCGGTAAGAAATGTTAAACAATTAAAGAAAAACAATATGCTCGAACAAAAATATCAGACATTTGCAATAACTTTAAACACAGGTAAATGAAAATAATTTTGTTGTTAGGTATACGTGTACAGTACCAATAGAGAAAGGAAATATTTTTACAAAATAAATAATTTTGATGTTCATAGTACGAAGTGAAAATTTATAGTTATACCAAACACTTATCAAAGCTGGTATATAGACCAGATATAGCCCTGAATAACATTAAATAACAAAAAAGCAATACA